AACTCTTGTTAGCTTAAAGACTAAGGCTTCACATAATAAAATTAAACAATCTGTAAACAGATGACAATGACCTTGAATTAGTGACAATATACAAAAATATCTTAATCAGAGGTAGAAATATATAGTTCAATATGACAACAATATCCTTAATTTGTATCAATATACAAAATATCCTAAGCAGAAGTAGAACATGCATACAGTATGACAAACATAATTTTACACTTGTATCAATTTACAAAAATATTTTAAATTGAGGTAGGAACATATGTACAATATGACAAATAGTGTTGAATTTGTATCAATATACAAATTATCTTAAACAGGAATAGAAAAAATAATTTTACATTTGTATCAATGTACAAGAATCCATACTAATGTAAATTATCTAAAACTGATAGTTGCTAATTTAGTTTATAAGAAAATACAATAATTTGCCTTATTATCCTATCCCATCTATCCCCCTTTTTTCTATTTCAAAAGAGATTCTTGAGTCTAACTTTATCATTCATCCCCCAACCCTATAACAACTTATAACCAACCTTTAACAGATGATAATTATCCATAACCCCGAGAAAACAGAAACCTGTTGGGAGAGAGGGCATTATTTTCTTATGATAAAAGGTAAATTAGATATAAAACTTGAGACTCACAAAGATAGGACAGATGATAGAATATTGTCTTTAATTTTGTCAAATACAAATAAACTAGATATTATAACTTAAATTCTTACTTGATAACTGTTTTGTTATATGTAATTTTACTTTGTTAAAATGAAAACCTTCCTTTTTGATCAGACAGAAAAGGGGAAGTGCAGTGGGATGTCTTTCTGTATGCTGTGAATATGTGTTGCTACCACTGATTAATAAAGAAGCTGCTTTGGCCTATAGAAAGACAGGTTATAGCCAAGCAGGAAATCCAAGCAAAGATACAGGGAGAAGAAAAGAGGAATCGGGGGAGACACTGCAAACCACTGGGGGAGCAAGATGCAAATAGAACACAGGTAAAGCCATGAGACACGTGGTGATACGTAGCTTAATAAAAATGGGTAAATTTAAGATATAATAGCTAGCTAGCAATAAGCCTGAACCATAGACCAAACAGTTTGTAATTAATATAAGCCTCTGAGTGATTATTTTATAAGCTGCTGCAGAGCCAGGCGGGATACTGAGAAGCTTCCAGTTACATAAGTCTAGTTTTTATTTTATTTTATATTATTTTATGCCTAGGGGTGTTTTGTCTGCATGTTTTTCTGTGCACCACATACCTGGTACCCACAGAGGCTGGAAGAGGACATCAGATCCTCTTGAACTGGAGTTGCAGACAGTTGTGAGCCACCATGTGGATGCTGGGAATCAAACCTGGGTCCTCTAATAGAGCATCCAGTGCTCTGAACCACTGAGCCATATCTCCAGGCCCAGGTTCACTCTTGCTAAACATTAGCAAGTTAAAAAGGAAAAAAAATTATTAAGAAAAAGCAAGGAAAGAAATAGAATGGAGGGAAGGAGAAAGAATAGAAAAGGAAGAACCCAGGGCTCAGGGTGCAGCTCTAAAGAAATCAACTGCTCAGCAGGTACAAGACCCTAGGTTCCCCACAGCACTGTAAAAGGAATAAAAAATAAAAGGTGAATGTAGTCAATAAGGAAATTCCACAAGCTCTTTCTACTGGAAAGAAATCTAATAAGAATATTCATTCAATAAGCTGAGGGGTGGGAAGAAAAGAAGATTCCAGAAACACATGAGTTCCAAAACAATACCATTTCCACCCTCCTCCCAAAAAAGATGAAAACAAGTAAGAAACAGAGTAGACACAGATGGAATGAAATTGCTGGCACAGTAGAAAGTCTGGAGATTATCCTACTACTTCTGAGGAAATGCAGTCGAACCTAAAATGAAGCTGATGCTGTGATGGCCAGAAAAGAGAACCAGGAGCTTGAAACATGGCTGTCAGTAGAGTCTTTGCTGTGCAAACACAGGGACCCGAGTTAGACTCTTAGCACCCATGTCAAAAATAATAATAATAATTCTGGCTCACAGTCCAGTCTGCCTGAAGCATCCACAGGCACAGTGTGGGTATCATTATGATGAGTAAGTATATGGTGGAGAAATGGGAGACAAAGATTGAGGCAGATTGATTCATGTGCTATGGTAAGAGGCAGTTCTGAAGAAGCAAGGATTGCTGTGGGATGCTCTGTATGGCAAATGTGTTGCTGATTGGTCAATAAATAAAACACTGATTGGCCATTGGCTAGGCAGGAAGTGTAGGTGGGACAAGGAGGAGAATAAAGCTGGGAAGTGGAAGGCTGAGTCAGAGAGACACTGCCAGCCGCCATGATGAGAAACAGCATGTGAAGATGCCAGTAAGCCACGAGCCATGTGGCAAGGTATAGATTAATGGAAAAGGATTAATTTAAGCTATAAGAACAGTTAGCAAGAAGCCTGCCACAGCCATACAGTTTGTAAGCAATATAAGTCTCTGTGTTTACTTGGTTGGGTCTGAGTGGCTGTGGGACTGGCAGGTGAGAGAGATTTGTCCTGACTGTGGGCCAGGCAGGAAAACTCTAGCTAGAAATGGCGTCCAACGTGGTGGCAAGAGTTTCCACCTAAAAACTGAGAAAAAAGGTTCTAAAACGGAGCTAAAAACAGTTCCTAATTGTCTCTCTCAAATGAGCAGCAGCTGCCGGTTTGAGCTACTGGTGGGTTCCTAGCATGCACGCTCGACCTGCAGTATGGCGGAAATGAGGCCTCTGCAAGTCGCACATTAAGCTGCATGGTGGATTTAGCCTTTGCTAGTACAAAACAAAAAAAGGTTTCTGGGCTACACACTGCTTGGATAAAAGCATAGACCCACGATAGCTCCCAGAGCTGGCGGTAAACGCACCACCGCCATGTTGGGAAGCTGAGGTGGGCTAAGCCAGCAGCCACAGCAGCTGCAGTTTAAAGCAATAGATTCACAATAAGACAGATTCAGATGTAATAGTTTACAATGTGTGTAAAATATAAGTAGGCTTGAAAGAGACAAAAAAATGTGATATATACAGTTATAGAAACAAATACATAGTTTAAAAATAAAGTCTTTAAAGAGACAGTAAAGTTAATAAAAAATAAGCCATGTGAAGATGAATATTACACAGAGAATCTGAATTGTGTTGTCTTTGGGATTTTTTTTTTTTTTTTTTTGGTTTTTCGAGACAGGGTTTCTCTGTGTAGCTTTGCGCCTTTCCTGGAACTCGCTTTGGAGACCAGGCTGGCCTCGAACTCACAAAAATCCGCCTGCCTCTGCCTCCCGAGTGCTGGGATTAAAGGTGTGTGCCACCACCACCCGGCTGTCTTTGGGATTTTTAACTGCAGAAAAACATTTGATTGTAAAAGCTGTTGAGTTATGCCAAAATGTATATTTTAAAGGTACCCTGACTTCAAAATTTGGATATAAGGATATGTTGCTTTGGAAAATAGTCTCTTTTGTTCCCACAGAAAACCAGAGGCTATGGATTTGTTCCAGATTAAGATACATCAGGTTTGACCAGCCAAGACCCCCTGAAAGGTCTCTGATGACACCATGGCCCAGATGATCCAACATCCAGAATGGTTTGAAGGCAACTGGCTCAGACAATACAGCCTCATGGACTATTCCATAATCCTAAAATTTTCTTTGTCCCCATAAGATACAGCGCCCCCCTCCAGCAGGAAGTAGTAAGAGAAGCTACGCCCAAATTCCCAAATTATATGTAATTTTACTTTGTTAAGGTTAAAACCTTCCTTTTTGAAAAAAAAGGGGGGGAAGTGCTGTGGGATGTTCTGTATGGCAAATGTGTTGCTGATTAGTCAATAAATAAAACACTGATTGGCCATTGGCTAGGCAGGAAGTGTAGGCGGGACAAGGAGGAGAATAAAGCTGGGAAGTGGAAGGCTGAGTCAGAGAGACACTGCCAGCCGCCACGATGACAAACAGCATGTGAAGATGCTGGTAAGTCACGAGCCATGTGGCAAGGTATAGATTAATGGAAAAGGATTAATTTAAGCTATAAGAACAGTTAGCAAGAAGCCTGCCACAGCCATACAGTTTGTAAGCAATATAAGTCTCTGTGTTTACTTGGTTGGGTCTGAGTGGCTGTGGGACTGGCAGGTGAGAGAGATTTGTCCTGACTGTGGGCCAGGCAGGAAAACTCTAGCTATAAAGGATGGTGAGGAATGAGCTGGTATTGGCAGCCTGCTTGCCACCTGGGACCAGGGTAGTGTCTGGGCTTGAGCTGCTGCCTAAGGCCACATCTGGGTCCATTGTCCTACCACAGCTGGGGTCTGTGTTGACATCCATAACCCATGTTGCCATCAAAGCCACCAGAATGCCCCCAGTCTGGGCCACCACCTGGGGCCATTTTGGTGTCCAAGGGCCATGCTGCCACTGGAGCCGTGTTTATCTGAGTGGTCTGTGCTACCACCGGGGAACATGGTAATATCTGAGCCCAGGCTGCAGCATAGGGCCATATCTGGGTCTATGGCCCAACTGCAGCTAAGGTCTAGGTTGATATCTGTGGCTCTCGATACCATCAAAGGCCATGCAAATACCCAGGGTCTGGACCATCACCTGAGGCCAGGTGAGGATCTGAGGGTCATGCTGCAGCTGGGGCCATGCCAATCTGAGTGGCCTACACTTAGACCTGGGGCCATAGTGACATCTAAGCCCAGGCTGCCACCAAGGACCATGTCTGGGTCTCTGGTCCTATCACAACCAGGTTCTATGTTGTATGAAATCTAAATTGGTCTTTTAATTTAAAAAAAAAAAAAGGAGCCAGATATTGAGGTAAATGCTGAAAGATCAGAGAGACAAAAGAACAAGCCACAGCTACTTCTCACCTCATCAACTCCACAAATCCTCTCACCGAATGTCTCTGAGTCCTCAGCCTAAAGGATTCTAGCTGAAAAGCTTCAGCCGAAAAAGGCTTCAGCTGAAAAGGGCTTCTGCCGAAAAGGCTTCAGCCAAAAAGCTTCTAGTTCCTGTCTCCTGGTGCCTTTATATACCTTTCTCCACCCAGCCATATCACTTCCTTCTTAATGCTGGGATTAAAGGCACATGTGCCTCCCAAGTACTGGGAGCAAAGACATGAAATCACAAGTGCTGGGATTAAAGGTGTATACCACCACTGCCTGGCTCTATTTCTCTCCTAGACTGAGTCAATCTCATGTAGTCCAGGGTGGCTTTGAACTCACAGAGATCCAGACAGATCTCTGCCTCTGGAGTGCTAGGATTAAGGGTGTGTGCCACCACCGCCTGGCATCTATGCTTAATCTGATGGCTTGTTCTGTTCCCTGCTCTTCAGGCAAATTTTATTAGGGTACACAATACATCACCACAGTTCTATGTTGATGTCCATGGCCTATGGTGCCACCAAAGGCCATACAGATGCCAGGAGTTAGGCCGCAACCTATGGCCATTATGGTGTCTGAGGGCTGTGCCCCCACTGGGGCCATGCCAATCTGGGTGGCCTGTGCTGCCCCATGTGGTATTGTCCAGGCAGGCCCAGGCTGCTGCCATGGTCCATGTCTGGGTCTGTGTTCTTGCTGCAGCTGGGTCTGTGAAGATGTCCACAGCCCATGTTACCACAGAGGGTAATAGGACCATGCATGTTGAAATCTGAGGCAGACTTGCCCCTCACTGGCCCTGTGATAGTTGGTCCTGCCCCTCAGCAGACGCTGCAGCAGGAGAGCTGGTCTCTGCACTAGGGAGAGATGGCCCAACTGCTCACGATTGGTGTGGGAAAGTTGGCCCAGATAGCATGGCCTAAGAGAGCTGACTCTACTCCTCACCAGAGGGGACAGTCCCAGTGGCCCAGACTTGACTAGCTCAGCTACCACCCAGACCACATCCTGGACCTTGGGTTGGACCACCCTAACATCTACCCCATCTGCGACCTGCTGGAGTGTATGAAGGGACTGGTCCTTCAGAAAGATACCCACAGGATCTCCATAACTTGAGGCAACAGCAAAATATCCAAGAGGAGTTTTGGTAAGGATCCAGTGATGATGGTGTGCCAGAGGCCTTGAACCAGACCAATGACCCACTGCAATGAACATTTTCCAGGTGGGCTGATTGGACGAAAGGGTATACTTTGTGACACACTGCAGCTCCAGATACCACTAGGATAAACAAAGAGGTGTTGGAAAGACAGAGAAGTAAAGTGGTGTTTTTTTTCTTGTTTTGTTTTTAATTAATCTGGGGGGGGCATTCTGCAGGGGTGAGGGGCAGATGTGGAGGGACTTGGAGGTGAGTGGGATTGGGGTGCATGATGTGAAATTTCCAAAGAATCTCCCCCACCTGCCAGTTCCTGAATAATCACTCAGAAGCTTAATATTACTTATAAATGTTCAGCCAGTAGCTCAGGCTTTTTACTACCTAGCTCATACACTTAAATTAACTCATAATTCTTATCTATGTTTAGCCACATGGCTTGGCACCTTTTCTCAGCACAACATTCTCATCTTGCTTCCTCTGTGTCTGGCTCTTGCACTCAATCTCTTCCTGCCCAGCTATAGGCCAGTCAGCTTTATTATTAACAATGAGCATAATCCACACCATTTCCCCCTTTCTGTCTAATTAAAAAGGAAGGTTTTAACCTTAACACAATAAAATTATATACAACAAAAACAGTTACCAAGTAAGAATTACAGGTACATCATCCGGTTTATTTATATTTGGCAAAACTAGAGAAAATACTCTATCATCTATCCTATCTTTGTGAGTCTCAAGTTTCAAATCTAATTTACCTTTTATCATAAGGAAAATTATAACAACTATCTAGTCTTCAAGTCCATCAAAGACCCCAGAAGGATAATATTATCTGAGTAAACAGGAAGTGCATTGCAAGCAATTTCCAAAACTCTAGAACGACAGAGACATCTGGCTGCCTGGACAGTCACCCAAAGTTCTTCTGTAACATTGGGGCATCCATCTTCAGCCTATAGGCTTAGAGTATCTGGAAGACTTTTCAGTGAAGTAGGAAATTTGAAGGACTGTCCTGCCTTATATTGGCAAAGTTCATCAGTCACTTTCCTCTGTCCTGCAGAATATCTGGCAGTTTCTTCTGTGAAGCAGGAACCCTGAAGGACCATCCCACCTTGTGTTGGCAAAGTTCAGCAGTCATTTTCCTATGGGTCCTGCATGTCCAGTTTATGCAACATACTGTCAAGTAGTCCAGGCAAGAGCAGCTTCTTGCCCAAATGGCTAGCCTTGCCACATGGAAAGCAAACTCCATAAGGAATAAGGATATGCCCATGACCCTCTTTGAAGTCATTGGTGCTGCCAGAAGCAGACATGTCTCGCTGTCCAGAAAATTCTAAGCTCTTAAAACATTTTAAATGCCATGTTCTATAGGTCTTTGAAGTATTTGAAGATTGCTTATCTGAAATATCTTTATATACCTAGAAAACCTAACTAACATGACTATAAGTTTGACTATTATAAATGACTATTAATCTGTATTACTTAATTATACACTACAATTTTAAATGAGTTGCATAAACATAATATCTTAAACAAGAGTAGAAATACACATATAACAAAACTTTAAATTTGTATCAATAAACCAAAATCCATACCAATGTAAAATATTTTGAGATTAACAGTTGCTTTTTGTATTAAAGTAGATCCAATAATCTACCCTTTCCCCATTTCTATATCATATCCCCCCTTCTTCTTTAGAAAGAGATTGACTATGACCATTAACAATTTATAACAAATCCCCCTTAAATAAAAACAGACATTCATAAACAATATTTTGGGAATTTGGGCATAGTTTTCTAGATTACTTCCTGCTGTGGAATGGTCTGTATGTCAAGTGTGTTGCTGATTGGTCAATAAATAAATCACTGATTGGCCAGTGGCCAGGCAGGAAGTATAGGCGGGACAAGAAGGAGAATAAAGCTGGGAAGTGGAAGGCTGAGTCAGAGAGACACTGCCAGCCGCCACGATGACAAACAGCATGTGAAGATGCCGGTAAGCCACAAGCCAAGTGGCAAGGTATAGATTTATAGAAATGGATTAATTTAAGCTGTAAGAACAGTTAGCAAGAAGCCTGCTACAGCCATACAGTTTGTAAGCAATATAAGTCTCTGTGTTTACTTGGTTGGGTCTGAGTGGCTGTGGGACTGGCAGGTGAGAGAGATTTGTCCTGACTGTGGGCCAGGCAGGAAAACTCTAGCTATAACTTCCTGTTGATTGGGGGCACTGGTAATCTTATTGGGACACTGAGAAAATTTAGAATTATGGTCAAGTCCTGACTAGGGTATTTTGTACGACTGATCCTTCTCAATGAGCAGCACTGAAACTGTTTTGGATGCAGAACTCGGAGGAAACTGTGACAGAGGTGTATTGAAATGTTGGATCATCTGGGCCATCTGTTTTTTATTGGTGTCTGCTCCTCTTGTTCTGAAAATATATAAACTTTTAAAGGTAACATACGTATCTGTATTAATATAAATTATGTATTGTACACAAGCTAGTCAAAGATAATTTTTTGTTTTATGTTTGAGCAGGTAAAATATACTTCACATGTAGGTTTATTTTCCCATGTCTGTAGTTAGGATTTTCAGGGCTCTTCCTTGATCAAACCTGATCTTTCCCAACCTGGAATGAAACCCCAAAGATTGCAGCTTATTCGTGAGCCTTTTTCTTGATCTTTTGGGACAGGATCTCACTATGCAGCCTGTAGCACGAATAGTTAAAAGGTCTTATTAATAAAAACAAACCCGGAGCCAGGTATTGGGGTGAACACTGAAAGATCAGAGACAGAGATAGAACAGGCCACAGCTAACCTTACCTTGTCAATTCCTCAGCTGATCCTGTTTCCTCAGACTGGAAGCCTCTATGTCCTCATCGGAATGGATCTCAGCTGAACTGCTGCTCAAAAGCCTAAAAGCTTAACCGGACTCTAGTTCTTGGTCCTCATGCTTTATATACCTTTCTGCTTCCTGCCATCACTTTCTGGGATTAAACGTGTGTGTCACCATGCCTGGCTGTTTCCAGTGTGGCTTTGAACTCACAGAGATCCAGATGGATCTCTGCCTTCAGAATGCTAGGATTAAAGGCATGTGTGCCACCATTTTCTGGCTTCTATATCTAGTGGCTCTTCTGTTCTCTGACCCCAGATAAGTTTATTAGGGTACACAATATATTGGGGAACACAATATCACCACAGCAGTCCATGTTGGCCTAGTGTTCACTATGTAGCTGAGGCTGGCCTCGAACTTGTAATTCTCTTGTCTCTACCTCCCAACTGCTGGAATGACAGTTAAACACCATCATGCCAGGCTTAAATTAACATTTCTGTACTAGAGTGAATATCTATATATAATAAGTTTAATTTTTCAGATGTTCCTTAAACCAGTTCTAACAGGTTCCTATATTAAGGAGTTAATTAAATAAAAATTAAGTTTTGATGTGAAAAATAGTAATAATTCTGTGTGCAGCAGTATACTGCAATCCCTGTACAAGGAAGTAAAAAACAGGTGGATCCCTGAGGCTCCCTGGCCAGCCAGTCTAATAGAATGGGCTAACTCCAGATTCAGTGAAAGATCCTGTCTCAAAAAAGATAGAGAGCAATTGAGGAAGACACCTGATATCAACAACTGGCCCTCACAAATGTTCATGCACATACACCTGCATATTTATGAACACACACACACACACACACACACACACACACACACACACACACACACCCGGAGGAGGAAAAACAGATGTCTTTGATGACTTCATCAAGTTCAGCGTCACACAGTCCTGAAGTCCATTGCCCCCATGGACATCCACTCAGGCAATAACATGACTTCATTGTCATTGTTATTTTTTGTTTGTTTGTTTGTTTGTTTTTAGACAGGGTCTTTCTATGTACTCCTTACTAGCCTTGAACTTACTATAGCTCAGGTTGGCCTCAAATTTGTGGTCCTCCTGCTTCAGCATCCCTAGTGCTAGGATTATAACCATTCCTCACCTTTTCCTATTCAAGTAGACCTATTTGTTAATTGCAGCTTTAAAAAATTCCCAGTGGCTGCAGCACTCTTTCCCAGCACCTTGAGTATTCTAATAATCTCCAAAGAAAAAATAATTCCTTCCTCTCCATCCTCCACTCACCCAGGCTTCCTCAAATGGCTGTCAGCTGGCATTATTGACCTTTATTGAATTCAATCCCAAGAGGCCTCCAAATTCACAGAAGACTGTTCTGTGGTGCTGAGAGCCAGCCTTGGGAAGCACAGGCCCAGCATGGAGGCCACTTGCAAGGGAGTCTGGTCCCCAGCCCCTCCTTCCCTTCCTCCTGCACCAAGGGCAGCTTTACTCGGGAAGCTGTGCACTCTCAATTGATTTCTAACTACAGCAGCAGGTTCCTGCACTGCTGCATGCTGCTTCTGGCTGCTCACTTGGAACCAGAGCAGCTGAGAAGGTGAAATTAGCTTCATTCTACCAGCATGAAATAGAAATACACAGCAGTCCCGGGGCTTTGGAGAGCAGAAATCTGTGATCTTTCTCACCTCTCTGTGAACACCAGTGCTCAGGGTGATAGAAGTTTGAGTATTGAAGACTGCGGTGTAAAAGAAAGGCAGGCAGAGGGAGAAGGCTTCCAGGAGAAACACAAAGGAGCAGTCAGCCCATTAAAAGTCACCACATTCACTTCAGCTGGCAAGGGACAATGGTGTTAATGACCCTAGGCCATTCGTACCAACCATGTACGCCACCTTTTTTATCCGCTGTGTTTTATTAAGTTTTAACATCCTGGGGTTTTGCTGATGCCAGAGAGCCTGTCCCTTTGAGGGAAAGATTCCTAGAGATAGTTAAGACTGGCCTAAAAACATCGTAGTTAGGGTTTCTACTGCTATGATTGTTAGAATCCCTAGCCACTCCTTAGCTACATGGCCACGCATGCGCTGTGCATCAGTCAGGTGGAATGGTTAGTCATCCCAGGGCCTTACGTGCTATGTAACACAAGCGCCGAGTGATCTCGTAATCTTCCAGCAGCATGATCACATAATCCATGTGCATGCGTGGCATAGCTACCTAAGTCCATATGCTCATGCTCAGGGGGACCCACAAAAGCAGATTCCACCCATTCCCTCACCCCTTCTTCTACACTGGTAGCTTCTAGTAGGCATATTGCACACCGTCTCTTTACCCTCCCCTAAAAAAACTCTTGCAGTGGGTTCTGTTGTACCTCATGGTTTCTCTTGCACCCCAAATAAATAACAACGATAAAACACATGACCAAAAGCAACATGGGGAGAAAGGGATTTATTTCAGCTTATAGCTTGGAGTCCATTATCCAGGGATGTCAGAGCAGGAACTCAAGGCAGGAACCTGGAGGTTCTGATGCAGAAGAACCGATGAAGAGGCCATGGAGGAGTGCTGTTTCCTGGCTTGCTCAGATTGCTTTCTTTTTTGTTGTTGTTGCTGTTGCTGTTGTTGTTTGATGCTGCTGGTGCTGGTGCTGGTGCTGGTGGTGGTGCTGGTGCTGGTGGTGGTGGTAGTTTTTTTGTTTTGTTTTTCAAGATATGGTTTCTCTGTGCAGCTCTGGCTGTCCTGGAACTTGTTCCATAGACCAGGCTGGCCTCAAACTCACAGAAATCTGCCTGCCTCTGCCTCCTGAGTGCTGTGATTAAAGGTGTGTGCTGCCACCACCTGGCTAAGACCGCTTTCTTATACCATACAGGACCACATCCCTAGGGGTGGCACCACCCACAGTAAGTTGGGCTCTCCAACATCAATCAAAATGCATGTAGGCCAATCCTATGAAGGCATTTTCTCAGTTAACAGTCCCTCTTACCAGATGTCTTAGTTAGGGTTTTATTGCTGTGAAGAGACACCATGACTATGGCAACTTTTATAAAGGGAAACATTTATTGGGCCTGGCTCACAGTTCAGAGGTTTAGTCTATTATCATGGCAGGAAGCATGGAGGTATGTGGGCAGACATTGTGCTGGAGAAGGAACTGAGAGTTCTACAATTGGATGAACAGGCAGCAGAAAGAGATTGAGCCACTGGCCTGGCATCTGGGACCTAAAACCTGCCCCCAAGTAACACACTTCCTCCAACAAGGCCATACTTCCCAATAGTGCCAGTCCCTATGAGCCTATAGGGCCATTTTCACTCAAACTACTACACCAGATATGTCTAGGTTTGTATCAAGTTGATAAAAAAACAACCAGCACAACATCCTTCATACACAAACCAACCAACCCAAAGCACATATACCTAATCACCTCTAAGGCAGCACTCCTCATGCCTGAGGTCAGCCCTGAGCCAGGCACTCAGCAACTAGACACCACCTTTTATCCTAGAGCCCCCAGTGTTATGTAAATTTACTCAAACTTGACTTTCCTTGCCTATCCCTCCTCATAAATACCCCAGTGAGGACTAACTCTGGCCTTGCACCTTTTGCTTTCTTACTAACCTAGGTGCTTCCTCCTGTGGCCTTGGGTGGTTTAGCATCTCTGTCCTCTTGGGAACTGCAATATGTTCTTCTTTCAAGTTCCTTTTGTATTTGTCATCTTACCCTATCTGATTAAAACAAAATCCCAAATACATTTAAAGGAAAACCCAGCCAATTATAAGGGACTCTCCACTAAGTACACTTGCATGCCCTGTCTTAAGCAATATCTACCATGTTACAACACAGGAATCATTAGCTCCATTCTGTATGTGAGGAGGGCAGAGCTCGGAGGTTGATTAACTTGCCAGTGCTGGTTGGCAGGGAGACTGATCATGAGCTAAGAATATCACCATAGTCTTTTTAAGATGTGTAAGAAATTTTGAAGATGGTACATGGTGGGAGAATTGGGTATTGTTGATCAAACATTAAATATGTTTTATTTTAGAAGGGAAACAAAACATGTTAAGTAAACACATTCAAAGTAGATATTAGCAAAAATGGACAAATAATTAGAAGGAGCTTGCCAATGTCAGACATCAAAACCTGTGAGCTTCTGTTGATTTTCTCACACTCTCAAGCAGAGGTGAACCCAGCTAGAATGCAGCCAACTGGGCCAGAATCCAGCCAAGGGAATCTCTCCATGGAATCCCAGATACATGAATATGAGCTCTTCATTAAGTGGCTGGTACTGAGACTGTGGGCTTGGTGTGTACCAAGGTACAACAGGCTTAGTGAAGCTCCCATTGCGTTGATCACAATTAGTTTAGGAGGACATTACCAGTTGCGGCTGTATAATTCTAAGTCATGGATAAATGCCCTATGTACTTAAGGGTATTTAATACTATCCCTGGTCTCTATACTGGATTCCAGAAGCATCTCCCCATACTCTCCTAAGTCATGAAAACTAGTAACAGCTCCATACATTGCTAAATGTGTACAAAATCATCCCCTCCCTCCAACGAGAACCACTGAATTAGACAAAGCCATCCATGACTTGATCCTGCATCATCTGTTCTACCTTTGGCCATCAGTATGTAGGAGAAAACCCCAGGACTTGGGTTGTGGAGCTTGACTTTGTGGACAGGGATGAATTTACTGGTATAACAGTATTCTAGCTCTCTGCTCCTGTCATGGAGAGGAAAAGCCCACAAAGGGATCGAAGACAGGACTCCAGAATGTTGCTAGAGTTTTCCTGCCTGGCCCACAGTCAGGACAAATCTCTCTCACCCGCCAGTCCCAAGCCGCTTAAACCCGATCAAATAAACACAGAGACTTATATATTGGTTTCAAACTGTATGGCCGTGGCAGGCTTCTTGCTAACTGTTCTTACAGCTTAAATTAATCCATTTCTATTAATCTATACCTTGCCACGTGGCTTGTGGCTTACCGGTACTTTACATCTTCCTTATCCTGATGGCGGCTCGCAGTGTCTCCCTCTCCAGCTTCCTGTTCTCTCAATTTTCCTGTTAGTCCCGCCTATACTTCCTGCCTGGCCACTGCCAATCAGTGATTTATTCATTGACCAATCAGCAACACATTTGACATACAGACCATCCCACAGCACCAGAATGTTAGAGAGAAGCCAGGTAAAAGTCATCTTTCTGGCTTCCTTTCATCTGGGTTCTTCTCATTTCCCTGTGTATCTGGAGTTAGGAGTGAGAAGGACCTGGACCACAAGTTCTGAAACATAGGGCTCAGGGCCAGAGAGGCACTTTATGGTTACTTGCTTTTGATTGAGTCCCCTTTCCTCCATTGGTCTCAGTTTTCACTTCTAGATTGCAGACAGTGTTTCCTTTCCAGTTTGCCCATTCAGTGAAGATCCTAGAAATGATGAAAAAATAAATTAGGATTCACCAACTTCACAAGGCTGAATTCCCAACTGGGAAACAAACTTAGGTAAGAGAGAGTCTGTTGACCGTCAGCTCCCAGCCAGCCTGAGAAGAGGTAATAAGTCCCCAGGAAGACCATGAAGCTCAGGAGGGAAATCTCACCATAGTACAGGAAGTGGGTAATTATTGCCTTCAACTGACACAGGGAAATGCTGACTAGCACTAGCCCCAGACCCTTCTAGACTAGATAATTTGGGAGCATAAGACTGTGTGGCCACTGCTCCCTTGAGGCACACTAAGACAAGAAGTGTTGAGTCTTACTAACCAAGCCATCCCCAAGCCTCAGGTTCATTCCAATATTTGCTAGAACCTAAATAAAATGGACCTATTTCAAGGCCTGTGTCAGCACAGGGCTGCATCTAAAGAAACCCAAGTACAAGTCCTTAAAATTTCCTTGGAAAGAAACTGCTGCATACTTCAAAAGGAAGTCACAAAAGAGAGGCTTCCCATGTTAGCTGCTTCTGCCAACACTATGACAGAATACCTGACCGAAATAAGGGAGGAAGGATTTTATTGTGGCTCACAGTTTGAGTGGAAACAATGAGAAAGGCATGCAGAATAACCAGCTCCTGGGATGAGGGGTGGGGCATGAGGCTACTTGCTCACACCTGGGGGCAGGAAGCCTGGTCTAGAAGTGGAGCTGGTCTAGAACCCTCAAGTCCCACTCCTACATACCTATATCAGCCAGCTAGGCCCCATGTCATAAAAGTTCTACGACCTCTCAAAACAATATTATTACTCCCCCACCCCATTCCCAGAGCCTCTGTCTTCTTCTATCTTCTTTCACTACGCCATCGCCAATAGTGTTGCAAAACCCCAGCCAACTACCATGTCTGCTAGAAACAGATGTGGCTGCTTGAATCAGAAAAATACAATTGTCAGAGGCTTAAATATCAAAGCTCTGGGGATTCTCTTTCTAGGGCTTCTCTAGCCTTGCCCTGTGCCTTCCATTCTCCCCTCTGCTGTGCGAAACATGGTCACAAGCAGGTCTCTGAGTCTCCAATGATCTTCCAGTCTCAGAAAGGAAGCAAGACAAGATAGTCACATATCCATTTAGGACATTTCCCCTGATTTTTGCTAGGGTTTGGGAGATGAGAGGATTAAAAGGCATTTTTTATTACATTTGTTTGTTTGTGTATGTATGTGTATGCACATGTGACATGGTACTCATGTGGAGGTCAGAGAACAACCTAGGGGAAATCAGTTCTCTCCTTCCATCATGTGAGTCCTGGGGATCAAACTCAGATCTTTAGCCTTGGTGGCAGGTTCCTTTACCATCTGGGCCACCTTGCCAATCCCTGAAAAGACTTTTGATCCTGTGGTAATAACAAGAAAAACCTGGACAAAATAAAAATCATACAATTGTATGGGTCTTGAAAACAGTAAAGGATGTAAGAAAGTTGTAATAAAATGGATTCTGGAAGGAAGCAAGCCCTTTACAGGTGAGCAGAGGACCATGGTAGCTTCTGTACCTAAAAAATGGTGGGGAACTGGTCTAGGAATGAAGGGTGTGGAATTCAGGGAGAGAGCCTTCAGGGATGAGGCAGAACCAACCTAGACTTAGACTGTGTATCCATCAACGTCCATCAGAGATACACAGTTAATTCCCAGGGTTCAGGACCAAGGATATTTTCATGACTTTGGCATAACAGTTTAGTGATCCAGTTGAATGATCAACACTGTCATTGCCTGTGTAACTAGTGAGGCTTGAAGCCACTAGGGATCAGTCAGAAAGGAAACTAAAAACGGAAAAAAAAAAAAGAACAAGAATGACAAGGGTGAACTGAGAGGCACAGGGACACTGTGAAAGCACAGTGAAGGACTGTGAATATGGCTCAGCTGATAGAGCACCTAGCTGGCATGCAGGAAGACTGCCTTCGTCCTCAAGACTCACAAACATGTCATAATGACACACTGCTGTAATCCCAGTATGCAAGAGGAGGAAGAAGCAAGAGGATCAGAGATTCAAGAGAACCCTCAGCTGCTGCATAGTGAGTTAAAGGCCAGCCTGAACCACAAGAGACCCCTTTCTGAAAACAGAAGGAAGAGGAGGAGGAGGAGGAGGAGGAGGAGGAGGAGGAGGAGAAAGAGGGAGAAGATGAGAAAGGAGAAAAAAGGGAACTCTCATTACAAAGTGGTAGGGGAACACTGGAACTCACATATGCCAGTCTTCTAAATTTGATGATGAGCTACAGAAAAAGTTGTCACCCTTGGCCTGTGTAGGACAAGAAGGGGGAAAACAACATGATGTTGACCTGCAGCTTGGAAAAGATAGAAGGTACTGCAGAGGAGCCAAGGGAACTAGGGTCAGCTGCTGCCCACCAGCTAGTATTCCTGGCACCTCACTGACCTTCAGAAAACAATCTACCTGCAACTCTACTTCTATTGTTCAAGATTTATGAACAATGTCTCTTGTGGCCTAAACTGGCCCAGAAGCACAGGAAAGAGAATTCCAGGAAACAGGGCTCCAGATTAGCCAAACTGAAGAAATACAGAACTACCAGAAATGGTGTGGGCTGGCAGGATGCATGAGATCTGGAAGAATCCCACAGGTAAAAATAAACTACTCAGACCAACTAACTCTCTTCATGTTGCCAATTCATGAAGTGAGAATTTAAGAGCAAGTGTGCAGACTAATTACCCAGCTCTACCCAACTTCAAGGCAGATGGACTGGGAAATGCAAAGTAAACTATAATCCAATCCCCCCCAACTCCAATACCAATGACCAAATGAAGGAGACACAAGTTTGGGATGGAATCATCACAGATAAATTGCACCCAAGAAAGACTGCAGTGAAGTCACACTATAGGAAGAATCTCAATGGTCAGCTGCAAGACAGATGTATGCACTCTGAAAAGTAAACAAAATAAACATTATGCATCAGTCTCCATAGTTAAATACAGTGAAGCATGCAAAGAATAAGAACATGAACAAAAAGTGAGGAAAGTCAGAAACAATCAAAAGAAGCAGATCCCCAGGTGACCTAATCATTAGAAATTAATGGGTAAGAAATTAAAATCAGCATTATAAATATGTTAAATATCTTATAGGTCAAGACTGATAATGATGGCTGGATAAATAGCTTATTTCTACCTAAATATAGGCTTGAAGAATTAAATAGAAATTCTAGAACTGAAAATAGTAACAATATAGATGGTTCCCATTTAATAGTTTTTCAATTTTGTAATGGTAGAAAAGCATATCTATATGGTACTCAATACTGGACTCATTAATTGCACAAGCTAATCAATACTTTATTATAAGATAGACTTCATGTTGGATGGTTTTGGGGTGTTTTTTTTTCTTATATATATTTTAGGTATGAGTACTTTGTCTGCATGTACACCTGCATGCCAGAAGAGGACATCAGATCCCATTATAGATGGTTGTGAGTGGCCATGTGGTTTCTGGGAATTGAAGTCAGAACTTCTGGAAGAGCAGCCAGTGCTCTTAATCGCTGAGCCATCTCTCCAGCCCCCCAACCATAGGCTAATGGAAGCGTTCTGAACACATTTAAAGCAAGTGAGGCTAAGCTGTGATATTTGGTAAGGTGAATAAAAGGCATTTTTATTTACAATCTTCTTGACTTATGATGGGTTGATCAAGCTATAACCCCATCACAACTAGAGGAACATCTGTATATGGTTGGGTGCATAATAGTAACTATAGCAATAGCACAAAAGATGGAGAAAAGTTTTGTTCATGAATCTAATACTATGACAAAGTATAGATACATAGTTGATCCTTCAAGAATACAACACCAAAGTATTAAGAGATGTGACTGAAAACCACATAAAACATATTTAAAATTATAAAATACATTTGTTTAATCCAAAAGAAGACACAAAAGCATAAACCACAAAAAAAAAAAAAACCCGAACTCGATGGGTCTAGGAAAACAGCTCGGTTGGTACAGTGCTTGGCCGGCACATGTAAAGTCATGGGTTCAAGCCCCAGACATAAACCAGATATAATGGTACATACTTCTAATCTCCTAATCTCAGCATGTAGAAGGTGGAGGCAGGAGAACTATAAGTGCAAGTTCATGCTCAGTTATATAGTGAGTTCAGAGCTAGCCTGGGCTACATAAGACCCTGACCCAAAAGAAAAAAAGAAAGTTAGCTAGTTAATAACTTGCATTTCATCAAAATTAAAACTTTTCACTCCTTTGGAAAATATTCTTAAGCAAGTCATGGACTAGAAGAAAATATAGAGAGAATACACAGCTGATAAAAGATTTGTATCTATACCTTTAATCTCCCAGAACTTGGAAGGCAGAGGCAGATCTCTGTGAGTTCAACACTAGCCTAATCTACATGGAGTTACAGTCCAGCCAAGGCAACAACAACAAAAATGTTTTTTAAGACTTGTATCTAGAATATAAAAAAGAATTTGTAACTCAAGCAGAAGTGTTGTGGATATTGCTCTGTATAAATAAAATGTGATTGGCCAGTAGCCAGGCAGGAAGTATAGGCAGGACAAGCAGAGAAGAGAATTCTGGGAAGGGGAAGGCTGAGGCAGAGAGATGCTGCCAGCCACCGCCATGAGAAGATGTTAAGATATCGGTAAGCCATGAGCCACGTGGTAACTTATAGATTAATAGAAATGGGTTAATTTAAGATATAAGAACTAGATAACAAGAAGCCTGCTGTGGCCATACAGTTTGGAAGCAATATAAGTCTCTGTGTTTACTCAGTTGGGTCTGAGCGGCTGTGGGACTGGCGGGTGAGAGAGATTTGTCCTGACTGTGGGCCAGGCAGGACTGGAGAAAACTCCAGCTACAGAGAAGATAACTATTTTTAAAGAAAAAATAAAAGATTTGAACAGATATTTTATGTTGGGGATGCAAATATGCACATGAAAATATGCTCAGCATTGTTCTCATGGGGAAAGGCAAGCAAAAGCCATGCTCAGGAACCACAGAATCTGTA